TTTTTTTTACATGTATCTTAAATTTGCCTTCACTTAAATTTAAAACACTATCTGGCAATTTATTATAAAAACGTATACAATGTCCCATGAAAGATGTACTTACTTTTTTGAGACGATAACTAGGCATATTTAATTTATTTTTATTCCTTGTATTATAAGCGTGTAAGTGACTATTTTTTGGAAATAAATTTAAGTTTTTGCGTACGTACATAATATTTTCATATATATATTGAGAGGGAACAGTATATACATTAATATCTTAAATAATATCTTAATATCTTAATTAATATACACATTAATATCTTAAAGATGAAAAATTAAATAACTATGTAAGCTAATAGAAATCAAGTAAGCTATACTCGTCTCATTGTAAGTCTCATGATAGTCGAATTCAGATTATTTCTAGTACTGATTCTAGTCAGATAGATAACTTATAGATAGATAGATAAGCAATAAATTATAACCACAGTAAAAAGCGATTTAGAATCGATTCCAACTCAATCGGAATTCAATATTGACGTTCCAGTTTTGTAGTGCAATGCCTGCCGAAAATCCCCGTTTGAGTTTTAAACGATATACGATTGCTCAAAAAAGAATAAAGTTACTAGTTGTGTAGTACACACAACCGGAACAAATTTTACATTTTTATTACAATAATCTAAAGTAGATTTTCAATTTGTTTACTTTTTATTTAAATTAGGTAGGGAATATAAGACAGTAATCATATCCTGTTAATACTGCAATGATCACGTACTTACAAGGGTACACTTTTGTTAGCTTTTACTTGATTTCAGTGGTGTTAGCAATTTAAAACACTTAATTTCAGTTTAGTTCAACACATAAACTACATTTTTTTTTATTGATTATGTGTAGTGTGTTGTTCTTTATTTGGGTATTATGTATTATATTATAGACAAAATAATATCTAGGCTATTAATTACTACCTATAAATTCATATGTATGTATGGGTACATATGTATGTATGCGTTAGCATATGGGTAAGAAGGTAGGTGTATGTTATGCATACATAGATATATACAATTATAATGATACACAGCTATCTTCTTGCTAACTCTAAATATAAATATAATACATACCTTATTTTTAGTAAAATTCGTTCCTTTGATAAAGTAAATATATTATTAGATGGTAGACGGGAGTACAAAACAAAAACAGGTATAGGTATCTTAGCGGAATCCTTGTATCAAGTCTTGATATCGCTGCGTATTGTTGTCTTTTGTGTTCGGGATCGCATTCGTTTTCCATCGCACACCATTATTCACATTAAGTGGACAGATCTCGGGTCAGATCCAGGCACAAGAAAAGCACAAAAAGTGCCCGCTTTATCCGAGCATGATAAATCTACTTCAAATCCGAGAATAGCATCTTTTATGAAGGAAATTGAAATAAACCGACCGTGCGGATAACGGCTAAGTAAGAAGATCGGGATCCTTTTAGAATATATCGGTGAATCATTTTCATTCATCAACCCATCATTCTCTTAGCAGGAACAAACTTCTTAAACTTACCACTCAACTTAGATGTTAGCATATTCTGTAGACGTTACATTCGTTTAAATAAATATATGTATATATAGGTATCTAGATACCTACTATAACTAAATTAAAGGTAGAATGTATATCAGCCTACCTTCAGTTACAGAATGCATAGGTCAACTGTAAAACATATTTCCATATCTCTGATAAAAAAATTATATTGTTTAACTGCTACACTATCAAGGTCATCATTTATATTTTGAACTAATTGTTCATAGGGTATGTGAGCTCCGATAAGTAATCCAGGGTGATCTCGGTTTCAGAGGAGCTATACACTTAGATTGTGCAATGTATTACGTGGGCTGCCTTTTAAGTTGTGTCGTTTGAAATAAGTATAGATAATCTAATAGATCATTATCATTTATTGTTTTTCAAAATATTCTCCGCGACATTTAATACACTTTTGCATACGTTCAAACCAGTTTTTAAAACATTTATTCCACTCCGAAGTTGGGGTAGTCGAAATGGCCGATTTGTACGCGTCAACAGCTTCTTCGGGTGAGCTGAAACGTTGACCACGAAGACTTTTCTTAATTTTGGGGAACGTAAAAAAATCGTTAGGGCTTAAGTCAGGGCTGTAAGGCGGATGATCCAAAATTTCGACATTTTGGGTGCTCAAATACATCTTTGATTGACGGGCGGTGTGCGAACTTGCATTGTCATGGTGCAGTATCATACGACGTCTTGAATTGTTTTTTCGAAATTCGGTGATAACTTGTGGCAAACAAACAGTGGTATACCAGTCAGCGGTAACCGTCTTGCAATCTTCTAGTACAATAGTGGCGACATGACCACCCTTTGCCACAAACGAGGCAACCATTTTTTTTTTATTGCTCCGTGAGCGAATGATTTTGGTCGGTTTTGGCTCATCCTGGAAGACCCAAACAGTTGACTGCTGCTTAGAATTTGGATCGTAAGCATATATCCAAGACTCGTCACCACTAACCATATCATAAACATGCTTTGACTCTCCTCGATTGAATCGCTGCAGAGTTTTGCGACACCAACTAACACGGGCTATTTTTTGGTCGTCGCTAAGCAAATGTGGTATCCTACGAGAGATCAACTTTCTTACGCCAAGTTCTCCATGCAGGATTTTTGGACAGTGGTCCCTGAAATGTCCACGGATGCCTCTATCTCACGGTATGTCACATGACGATCTACGAGGATTAGTTGCCGCACGGCTTCAATATTCTCTTGCGTCATGGCGGTTTTTGGACGACCTTCACGTGGCTTGTCACTGAGGCTAGAGTGCCCACGTTGAAATTCTATATACCATCGTTCTATAGTCCTACGACATGGTGCTACATCAGCAAACACAGAAGTGATTTCCTCAAAGCACTGAAGTCGCGATAATCCCCTTTGATAGTTGTAAAAAATTATCGCACGCAAATTTTCCTTAGTGATTTCCATTTTTACAACTGACTTGTCACCTTTGAATAGACGATACAATAAAACTATTCGACCAATCTGAAAACATTCTTTTGTTTTCGAATTCTAAATTCAAAAAGATGTAAATGCCATATGCTTTTTTTTTAATAAACGCGGGAGGTTGGCAAACGACAAGACTTAAAAGGCAGCCTAGGTACCTACCGCGGTTTTCTTAAAAGACTACAGCATGGAGTTTTTCATAAATGTTTTCTTCGCGTGATACGTTACGTTACGTTCTCTTTAATGGTGAATTTACCACGATGGACTGACTAACCCGACTTCATACTCATCTTATCATCCGCCACTAATGCCCTGTCAGTGTAAACCGTCAACGCAGGCGGGTACAAAATTCCATTATCATCCATAAAAAGACATGTTTATTTCTTTAAACGGTTTTAAAAAAATGAACATGTTTATACTATTTATGTGGACACTTATAGTATATTTTTCTTATTTCATTAACGTGACAGATTGTACAGACGATAGATACATTGGTATTTTAGTGGTTGAACAGAAATCGAGCGTGAAATAGTTCCTACAGGGTGTCTCGTGAAACAAACGAAATACTATACCAACGTTGTACGTACTCCGTCCCACAACCGTGATGCTCCGCCACTCTGGGGTGTTTGGCGGAAAATTGGCTAACGTTAGAACATTGGCTAGGTATTTTCAACTCAACCATAATAATGAAACGGTTCAGCCATAGTGTTTACATAAATAATATTAGGTACAGCTCAAAATAAATGGCTGGTTTCTATTGGTCCCTATTTGTATAAAATATATTGAAACGGGTATCTACATTATTTCGTTATTAATCCTGTGACACTCAATAAATTATACCTGTATAATTTATAGACACTTTAAACTTTTAATGCCCTGTGCTACATCACAGATAAGTTCATTTACCATACCATTAAAAACATGAGTCCAGAATGGACCGCGTGGAAGTTGACATAGTTATTACCTACTACCAATGCGATCACTATTTACAATCAGTCATCTACCCCTCCACTTCAGAACGATTATGCCCATTTGAGTACCTAATTTTTTTTTCCGAATAAGGTTTGCATGAAACAACATGTTTCAAAAACAGTATGAAAAAAATAAGATTATTTTATTTTATTTTAAAAAGTACATAATTTACAGTTTAAGTCTAGTTCTTCAGTTATAGAGGTAATACATTGTTTCATTTTCTTCATTAGACAGCAGTAGTGCGAAACCAGGACGGGTAACTAGTAAAAAGTAAAAACAAAGTTAAATTCCAATCTCGGCTACAAATCCAAATATAAATAGGTACCGACTCAAAATAACAACCGTGGATCGTGGATCCAGAAAACAATCCACATCCGTATCACCGTGACGAGCCGATGTGCCATAAAATGCCGCCCGTTATGATTTTCATCACGAACGGAGGCCAGCGAAAAATTTCGTTTTCATTTTATGACTGAACATTTTAGTTATATTTTACTGCCAGATAATATTGGACTAGAGATATTATGTTGCAACATAACAAATGTGAGATAACACATTTTGTTCACAGATTATCAATGAAAGTTCATGTCCATTGCTAACAATAAATGACCTTACTATCACAATATGATTAAAGTACCTATCACCAGTTGAATAATAAATATGATAATTTGTATGTATAAGTTTTAAGTAAAAACAGCTGAAGGAATTAAATGAAATTTTCACATATTTTATTAATTATGGGTCAATATCTAGTGAAATGGTTAACGAATGTATTTTGAAGAGGACTGGACATCTTACGGAGCAGTGTTACATATATTTTACAACCAAAACTAAAACTAATAAATTTCGGCGTATTTTTCAAATTCGCCCAACATTTAAACCAAAATGTTTTTGTAGAGGTTTTTATAAATTGCTACTATTTCATGAACAAAGCTCTATTCCCTATTTCTTTTACTTTCTGAAAAAAAATAGTAAGTCATGAAGACTATAATAGAAACAGACAAGATCAACGTCATTTATTTTAAAAAATATTGCTACGCGACTACTTTTCTTTTTTATAAAAATTTATGTACTGTTGTCATTTATTTTTGTAATTGTAAACTTCATGGCTACTTATGTACATCAAAATGGTAAATAAAAATATTCAATGATAAAGTCTGTACAAGATAAAATTATGGGCTCATACACGGATATGGGAAATACTGAGACTCTTTGGGAAACAAATATTAAAAAAACTACCGAAAATCAGATGAGGAAGGCCTTAATAGCCATTGTGCATGAAATACAAAGGTACCTAACTATAAAGGGATGTATATTTATCATTGAGCAGAGCACGAAGAGCGGAGCGATCTTAGAAATCAGATATGCACTCTTTGTAACAATACTCCTCCGAAACGACTTGACCGATCGAGGCCAAAATTTCACCGAAGGTCAACCTTGGGGACTTCATCGTTTACCACTCAAATAAAATCAGGTCGAGTTAAATACTAAGTCAGGTTAAGAATAAAAGCGCTCCGCTCAACACGTTAACATACCGGTAACAAACCTAGTTTATACATGTACCTAAATTATTATAATCAACTCAAAGTAAACACAATAAATTATTCGAGTTTATAACATCGCTAATTCCAACAATTTAAAAAAAATGTGTTCATGTGTATTACAGATACCACACTGAATCGCCAACAATAAGTTATAATAGCAAAGAAGAAATATTTATAGACTTAATAAAATTTAAATCAAATTTAAAACTAAAAAGAAAGCAAGTTAAAAACCTTCGTATAAATCTTAACATTGCATGCAGTAAGTATCTACAATACTTGCTTCTTTAGTGTAGCGATTTTCTTATAGGTATATCTTTCTTTGAGGGAATAAATATTATTCTATAATTTATTATACCATAATTAAATTAGGTAACCTAATTTGAGTAATATTTACATTCCATACTGACACATTATCATCTGCTATTTTTTTATTTATTTCCAGTAGTTGCTAAAACATTGCTAACTGCTAAAGAAAATGATACAGTTGCATTCAATAAACAAATACATTTAGTAGGAAGTCACTGTAACAATTTACTTCAGAATAATAAAATGAACGAAACAATAATAGAAAAATTTAAATCGCAAAATCGAATACTAACACAGAAAATGTACAACATTGGACATTTAATTAATCTCGGCTACATAGATATGCAAAAAATGCAAGATTCACGTGTCGATGAATTAACTACAACGGAGCAATTAAAGGAATTATTTGTGACTTGCGGTCATTACTATGCAAAATATTATAATGAACATGAAAAAAGGTTACGACTGGAACGTAAGAATCGGTTTTTGAGTAATAAAATAAATATAATGGAAAGCAGCATAGAAGCTATTAATAAAGAACTTATTGCTTTACGCCACCAAAACGTAAGATTACAAAAAGAAAATAATTACATGAGAAAAATGCGAAGTTGTTTCCCTAGTAATATTGATTGCAATATAATAAATAGTTTAAGCTCAATTTACTTTTGGCGACAATACAAGAATGAAAATGTTAAAAAAGATAGTGACAAATTTAAAAATGAACAATCGATTATTTCCAAATCAAGAAATATAGATTTTACATCGCATTTATCATTGGTCGAAATGTTAATTTGTGACCAAGATAGTATGTTAAGAGATTTAAATAAATTGTCAGAAGAAATAAAAAAATCAACCGATCAACCGATACGAGACTAATCCATGTACATTTACCGATCTGTTAAATATAACAACAATGAATGATAAGTAATTAATTGTGAATACTAAATAATTGTACATATACCTACGTTTCTACAGACAATAGTATTTCATTAGAATTGAACATATAAAAACCTCTATGATTAAAATCCTAGCTATCTACATTTACGTCTAAAATAGAGTTGCCAACCAAATAAAATAAAGTTAAAAAACAGTATTTGAAACTGAAAAGACCGAAATATTCAGTATAAAAATAGGACGTAGTAATATAGTTAAACTTGCAGGTACAGTTGGTGGTTTGCTGGTAGGTGAAATAAAATTCAAGAATTAATATAATCACATTTTCTAATAAAAGTAGGTATTTTAATAAAATTATACAGTTTGAAAACCAGATATTAAAAGAGTCGTGCGACAATTTTAAAATTTAAAAAATCTGAACTCATTATATCTTTTAGGACGTTCCACGATTCAACAAAAACTAGGACATGTTCTAAGAAAACAAGACGATTGGTAACTCTTGTCATACTATAGTTATCTTTTTTATTTCCCCATACATTTTATTATAAGAAGCATAGGTTTAAAGTATTCATTTTATATGTCACATAATAAAAGCTAGACAAAATTAATTAGAGACCCACTTACGTTATAATGACGTCTATTTATGTTTGGGGACTCATTATCTTGATAATTTGACATGCAATAGTAGGCACCCTCTGGTATATTGCACGGCCCATACACTTTTATTGTATAAACAATACCTATAACTTGACTACTACGTCAGTATACGATCTACATGTATCTTATCATGATAACGGAATCTTTTGGCACCACATAACTTCGCGGTATACGCTAATCGGGCCACCAGGATATTATGGGCATGAATTCTAGTAAGCCTATTCTAATTCCCTGGCTAAATTCTAAGAAATCCCAGGCTAATTTAACCAAAAATTAGCAGATGTTACCAGGGCGAAGCGTTTGGAGGTTGATCTGAAATGGTTCATAGCTGTCAATGGACCACTAATTTCTAATATCTACCAATATTAACTTGTGAAAAAACTAGCAGCCTGGTATAAAAAAAATCTGGCGATGGTTAGAGATTAGAATTTTAGAGAGTTCAAAAGTTCAGAATTCAGTAAATATACATTTTTACTGTCGCAGTAGAATACATTTTTAAACATTGGCTTCCCTACAAGTTAGGAAATAGGAAATTTAAATATATTTGTTTTGGCAACACAGAACTCCACATGTGTCCAACATTATTTTGCCGGTGTATCTTTACTATTATTTTTAAATTCAATAATAAATAATTATTCTTTGGACTAAGTGAAAATAAACGAAAAATATTGAAATTGGTAACGTATTTAAGCTTTCTACATTGGAGTACTCAAAATAAATTACATTAGTTTAAATTGCCAACCCATGAATGTTAAAGAATATTGCAAAGAAATTATTGTGGCACTGTGATAACTTTCATATTTCCAATTTTCGTTTATTGGGTATTGACACCACAATGACTTTGGAGCAGGCTAAGCAAGTAGCAGCTTACAAAGCAGTTGATGAATTTGTAACAAATGACTGTGTTTTTGGTGTCGGTAGTGGTTCAACTGTAGTGTATGCCGTACAACGCCTAGCAGAACGAGTTGAAACAGACAAATTAAAGATAATATGTATACCAACTTCTTTTCAAGCCAAACAATTAATCATAAAGCACAATCTTACATTGGGAGAACTTGAAACAAGTCCCCAAATTGATGTCACGATTGACGGTGCTGACGAAGTGGACTCAAACATGATCTTAATAAAAGGAGGAGGTGGCTGCCTTCTTCAAGAAAAAATTATTGCTTCATGTTCAAAAAAATTGATTGTAATTGCAGACTATACTAAAGACTCTGTGAAACTGGGTGACAGATACAAGAAAGGGATACCCATTGAAGTTATTCCAATGGCATATATTGCCATTAAAAATAGAATCATCTCTCTGTTTGGTGGCGACATTAAGTTGAGAAGTGCTGTTGCTAAAGCTGGACCCGTTGTAACAGACAATGGTAACTTCATCTTGGACTGGTTGTTTACAAATCAAGATTTAGATTGGCAAAAAGTAAATACTACAATAAAGATGATACCTGGTGTTGTAGAAACTGGCTTGTTCATTAACATGTGCCAGAAAGCTTACTTTGGGCAACCAGAGGGGAATGTGATAGAGAGATCTGTTTAGGTATAAGTAAAAATTGTTTTGTTTTATTATATATTTCTAAGTTTTTTTTACTTTTTATATGCAAATTGTTCTTTTAAAAATATATTCATAAAAAATACATTGTTTTAATGTACAGTATACTCTCTTGCTGTATTTACCATTAATGAAATAAAACCTGAAATCAACATTCAATGCTGTAAACTTTATTTAACATAGAACGACAAATGTTAATACTTAGTAGTGTAACTTCTGATGACACATTAATCATAATTATGTTTAAATACCAGTGAACATCAGGTAACTATATTCAATCTTTTAATTTTATTATTATATTATTACTGTAAAAGCAGCTATTAAAATATTGTACACAATTTATAGCAATAGAAAAAAAAGAAATGAAATAGATACCATAGTCATACTACATTTTTGTATAAACAAACAGCTTGAAATACTGAATATGTATTTACTAATAGATTTCTCCAACAGTGAATTGAATATATTCTCTTAGTTTAGGCAAATAAAAATAAGACTTCAAAAATATTGAATACCTACTATAGGTTATACAATATAACATACATTTAATTGGTTTTATTAAAATTAGTCATTTAAAAATAAACACAATATATTAATTCTTACAATGTGCCACAGTTGGTTACATTTGATCAAATATAAATAAAAAGATTTCACACCATTTCCAGAATAAATATGTAACATATGAAGATGAGAATGAAATCAAAAAAACTTAATATAAGAATAACAAACACACTTAATCAAACCTGATCTTAAATATTTAACTAAAATTAAGTATATGCAAACAAAGTCACTGTAAATATTAAAGTATTTAAATTTAGATACCAACTCGAGGTAACATGTATAAAACATTTGAAGGATATGTAGACTTACATTCTCTAATTTTATTTTAGTAATCTTTGGTATTAAAATATTTCAAACTTAAGAAGTAAAGAAGCTAAATAAGAGATCTGTAATGATTATCTCACATGTGAAAAGAGAAAAAACACCTTTTAATTAAATAATAATATTCACTTACAAACTAGACATATTAAGTACACAGTAAAATGAGCCCATAAAAATAGATTCACTCTTGTTGCTAAAAAATGCAAGATAAAGCTTGTTGTGTAGTGATCCCATAGAAGTAGTAGTAGTAAAAATAAAATTAATAGAGACTTGTTTTCTTCATTATGCGTAAGAACTCATCTTGATTTATTTCACCATCTCCATCTCTATCTGCTTCATCGATCATTTCATGAAGCTCTTCATCTGTTAAGGTCTCACCTAGCTCTTTTGCTACTCGTTTCAAATTTTTGAAAGAAATTTTTCCTGAAAATACCATACAATCCATTAGCCAAGTAACAATTTTTTTCTGATTACCGAATATAGAAGTATTCGTGTCATATATTCGGAAATCTGAAAAAAATGGCTACCTATATATGAACAATTAAAGATTGTGTTGTTGTATACACACAAAACAGCTGAGATAAAAGAATAATTGAAGAAAGTGTACTATTTTCATCTAGATATTTCTCTATTTATATGTATCATGAAAATAGGTCTATTGATATGATTTCATGGATTTTGAGTACAATATAACATACGAATATTTTAAGACTGATATTTTTATCCTTATGCCAGTTGGCATGTTTCTTAGTTATTGATATCAAGTCTTAATATTTGGGATAGCAACTAAACAATATTTACTGGTGGAAGGAGATTTTTCCTCCACTGCCAACATACACCATTAGAGCAAGTGGGTGACCATTTCATTATCATATAAAAAAACATATTTAGTATTTGCACCACATTTTTACGAACTATATCAAAGGTACTGCCTCTTTAAAATCAAGTAAAATGTTCTTGTGTTAATCTAAGATATGATATATGTTAGCAAACATCATTCGAATCTTATTTCTTTATATCAACTACAATAAACTTAGATAAACAAACACTCATGCCTAAATCCTCCACAGCATGGTATAAATATACTTACTCTGAAACTTATACCTTCCAATCTAGGTAAAGAATTCCTAATATCATTCAAATTATGGCCTCTATTTTTTAATCAGACCATAAGTGATTATATTGTATTGACTTTGAATCAAACCTTTTCCCACATTATTCTTTACAGCAGCCCATCTTTATTTCTATCTTCCTACTCTTCTTCTTACTTGTGGGAAATTGAAAGCAGACTCCCATGGATATAGAAGGTTTGGCGGAGAATGAGGCTTTTATCCATGGGGTCACATAACAAGGAAAATAAGTAATATAATAATATTAATAAAAAAACTGATTACCTGTCTCATCATCATCAAAAAGTTTAAATGCCTTCATAATCTCTTCCTTGGTGTCTTTCTCTGCCATTTTTAGTGTCATCAAGTCAAGGAAATCTTCAAATGATACTTTTCCATCACCTTTGTCAATTTCAGCAATCATTTTTTTTATCTCTTCTTTCTTAGGCTCAAACCCTAGGGCTCTTATGGCTACTTTTAATTCTTTTGTATCAATTTTACCTGTATTTTCTGTGTCAAATAAATCGAAGGCTTCTTTTATATCGCGCCTCTGTTCCTCAGATAGTTCAAATTTGGGACCAGATTTTTTACGAACCCCACCAGATGGTGCATTGTTAGAACCCACGGTCTTCTTTTGCGTTATAGCAGTTGCCTGTAATTTAATATTTTCATAATCATTTGAAATATATCAGATTATATACAATAATCTATTTATAATTAATACTGTTATTAGAGCAACCTACCATAGTCGTATTTAAACTAATAATTTAAATTACTGGTATATCTATCTATTTAGATATTGTGAAGAATTAAAAATTGGTTGAGTTTTAAATTAAAAATACAATTCACGATATTTAATATGAATATGGATAGGATTGAAACAAGAGAAGTAAATAAATATATAAACTGAACTGACAGATACTGACAACAGATAGTCAGTATTAGTCAGCCAATTGACAAACAGCTCAGTGTACTGTGTACATTTATTGATCTACATATGCTATATCTAGACGTGGCGTTGTGTTGTGTCCGTAATAGTAGTGATGCTGTGACTATTGTCTTTGGTTTGATGCAGTGTTGTCAGATGATTATCTTATTTTCCCAAATTATGGCAAAAAAATCCTTTGAAATTAAGGTATTGGAGTAAAATCCCTGCCCAAGAAAACCATGGAGTTATGTATGGGTGAGCCCAATTTTCCGCGTATTGTTAAAATACCTCTAACGATTAAAATGACGAAGAAATATGAAATAACGCCCTTACCTAAATAACGGTAATTCATAAGGAATTAAACATGATTTCCAAGGGAGGATCGCCATGATCTTAAACTAACTTTTAACGCACCTAGCCATTAGACCTCTAGTTTTTATTGCTAGCAAACTTCCGTACCCTATTACGGGTTAATGTCATTAGGTGTGTAACCACAATAAAAGACGCAAAATATAATTAATTTAAGGTAATATTACAATAGTTTATTGTAAAAAATATAAATGTATGACTGTTTTATTGGCCCATATTAGTCTTATGGTTGGAACTAACAAATGGACCATAAAACAAAAAATGAAAGAGTATTCATCTTTCATAATATCGCTTTTTTTACGGACTACTCTAATGCTGTCAGCTGGCCTTTACACCTTCACGGACCATAGGGGGCGAGTGCAGATGGCACTCCAAACCCGTGGAAGGACTTATGGAGTGGCTGAACTCCAACTGGCTGAAACCAACTCTCGCTTAACGAATACGACTTTAACCTGAGGACACCGCTAGGGGTTCGAACCTCGGCTCAGCCCGTCGTAATTTCAATCCCCGTTTGAATTAGACGGAGGATCGATTGGAGGGGCGACCGGGGCACTAGTGTGCAGCGCCAGGGCGCACGCAGGCGCCCGGTTGATTGCGCGGTATGTTGTGTTTAAGGTCGTCGTCTTCACCGGCGAGGACGGTATCGTGTGTGTGTGTGTGTAAAAATGTGGTCGGGGCGGAACTGGTAGACCCGTACGGAGGTTAACTATCGTTATGGGGTCGTCGGGATCAATAAGACCATGCCTCGGGCAACTTTGTCGCATATGTCTCCTCGGTGCTCATAATATCGAAAAAAAATAAGTATTACCTACAAATCGTTTGGAAAGGAATACATTAATAAAACAGATATCAAATAAGCATAATTTTATATTTATACAGGTATTACTGGTTATTGTGGTTGCTATTTATAACATACAAAATACTAATGTAGATACCTATATGTCCTAAGGGCCGTGCATAGCAGAAGTATACAATATAATCTAGGATCATATTTATGTATATTTCAGAGTCTAATACAGCATAATTTCACTACATTATTCATAACAATCACAACCTATACAAGTCTAACGAGCTTTTATTGACTTTAAAAAAGCGTCAAGAACACATATCGATCCAGGTGCGATTCTATGTATTGGATAGTTTTGACATATCGCACAGACAAATCATTAAAAAATAAAGACTATATTGTGGACTTCTTGATACAAAAATGGCATAATTTTACTTACATTATTAATTTTTAGTAATGTAAGTAAAGTACCTACATTACATAGTACATTATACAAATTAAAAAAATATAATGTCTATTTGACATAATCTGCACACATTGCTATAATTGCTGATATTATTGTAGAATAGATATTATTATTTCATACTAAAAGTAACTATAAAAACTAAAATAAGAACAGTTTAAGTCTTGATATTTATAATAATAGACTATTGTTCTGTGCGATACAGACACTTTAAATAAAATGTTTTTGGTTGCGCCGTTAGACTTTACAACAGGTACCTACATAATAATATATAGTTATATGATAATACATACAGTTATAATTCTTTATTAATATAAATTGCAAATAAATATACGATAACATTAATAAATTTCCAAACAATTTCCAAATTGGGGAAAATTATAATTCATTAAGGACTTAGTAAATTTCTTGCAGTTGATGATGAACTTAAAGCGTATTTGTAAATTTTTTATATTGTATTTTAACGTTTTTCCACACGATAAAAGGTATACAGAAACTACATATTTATACTATTGCTCACATAGATCAATAAATAAACATTTATCGACAAACTGAAAACTGCTGAAAAAAATCACGCTTTTTCTACACAGTCGTGTAATAATATAATACATATTTATTAATGTATTGGTGGCTGTATACAATTCGGGTAAAAAGTGTTAATCCTATATGTTAGTGTCTAGAACATTAACTATCTGTGCACCAAGTATCAGTCAAATCATTCTAATAGTCTTTGCGTCAAAAAACATTTACAGTAAAACAAACAAGCAGACATCCATTCATCCATTCTCACAATCGTTCATAGTTATAATTAAAAGAATTAAACAGTAAAACCCTAAACAAAATATTGATATACATTTGCATATGAATGTTTTGTTTTGGGTTGACTCCTCTAACTACCTACATTTTTAACTAGGACTTAGAGGAGTCATTATGACACAATACAGTAAAAAATATTGAGGTTCACGCACATTATTTTAGCCACTTAGACAAGTCTATTTTTCAGGTTAGTTTTAAATTGTAACAATCATCCAAAGAGACAGTTTTAGTTAGAAAGAACTAGCATGACACTCTTGTTACTTTTAAAATTATTTATTTATTTATTTGGGTATCTACGTCTAATATTATAATGAAAATTCTGTACACGAACAACTAAGGCTTGTTTGTGATTTAAGTGATCGATTAGTAATAGGTTTTGCTCAGTCAGTGTACATACATTTTGGAGGGATTTCGGGGGTTTCATTCGAGTAGTTAGATCAGGGCGCGGACGGTAACGAGCCGAAGGACTTCATCAGATGATAGCATAGTGGCAGACGGCTGCGGTGTCCGATCTTGTGCAGCATAGCGGCAGCCTGGGCCAACATGCCGGCGCGTTCTCCCGGCGCCGCTAGTACGGCAGCTGGCAGGTGCTTGCACGCCATGTAAAGTGCTAAGGCACGTTCGCCTTCTCCTCCGCCCCCCTCTAACACACGCTCTGTATAAATAAAAATAAATAATATAAACCTTGACCATTCTAGCCATGTGATCTCTTAAACGAACTACTACGGTAGTTAGATCACGGGATTTAATATTTTATCATTGTGTGCGTATTATATGTGGGAAAGAGAAATTATCCAGGAAAACATTAGCAGGTCAAGTGTTACGTTTTTACGTTGCGTTGACTCTAACTGGGATAGGAATTGTGAAGATATATTTTTGTTTGTTTTGGTATTCTGTGAAACTGTTAATAATAGTGTAACGTAAGTACCTATATATAAAATGAGTTCTATCACAGCTAAGAACGTGTTTTGCTGATATACTTAGTTTGACATTTTACAAATATAAATATTCTTTATTCAAATAAACTTAATAAAGTACTTTTGAATAATCATATTTTTTTATTCTACAACTCATTCAGAATGCAGATTCATCACAAGAAGCATTATCAAGAAACTTGCATGTTGTTTTTTTTTAAATAAATACACAATGCCAAGGATTAGGCATGCGACTATCATCTTAGAAACCGCTACAGACTTAATCTTTGTGCAATTAGATAAAATAAATAGGTACCTTTTCCACAAATGATGGAGGGACGGTTAGATCGCGGACGTAGGCTGCCATCTAGAAGTTGCTGAGTGCGACGCGGGGCCGCACCAGCCATCATTCGGCACACTGCCGACTGCAGGAGCATGCGCGACGTCATTCCCTGCCCAAGACATATCATAATAATTAGATGTATTCATATGGCAATAATTTTACCGTCAGTAATAGCATGAAAAAACTAGTAACGTGCGAGTTCAGTCAAGCACGAGACAGCAAGTGTCCCAAACAAATGTTTTTTTACTATAATTTGGACTGCATTATTATCTGTTTATGAACGTATTTTGTTGTTTTCTCAGGAACGATGTCAGTTACAAGCATCTTCATGTTCTCTCTTCATATATTTTTTAGATTATAAACCTTTTATGTGACTTACCTAATTTTTGCCTCTGTCTTTTTTGAAGCATCGCAGCAGAATGTATCCCATAAAATAAAACACATACATTCTAAAAATTACAATTGAGCCAGAATAAGAACATGAACATCCTGCACATACAGGCGGCCTATCCTACCGACTGGGATAGTTAATCACATAACAAAATAATATGTTTTTGAGCGGGGATCGAACCCACGACTATGGGAATGTAAGGCAATGTTAAACCAGCAAGATGGATAAAGAATAATAACCGTCAAATCCTGCGATATACGCCGCAACGAGTGCAGGTCCCGCTGGAAGGCCTGCAGCTGCGGCAACGGCGCTGGCGAGGTCCGGCTCGCTTCCCACACGGCCGCGCGCACCTCCAGCAACCAGTCGCAGCATAACACCTGCATCAACTGCAATCACCATATATTAATACCGTACACTCAAGTATTCATTAGAAGTAGACTGTAAATAAACGTCTGCGCGGGTACCACATTCTCATCTTCAGCCACCAAGCCGCTTTTGTTACATTGTGTTTCTGTTGTAGGGTCCAGGTGAGCCAGTGAATTACAGGATATCTTGTTGTCTGACGCCAGTGAATTACATGATGTCTTGTTGTCTGACATCTTAGTCCTCTGTGTCTGAATGTGTGTTGTTCATGTATATAGGCGAGACGGCTACCGCTTACTATCAGATAGGCTGTCAGCTTTGTCAGCTCAATTACATAAAAAAAAAGGATGATGCAATGATGCACCCACCTGCACTAACGATACATGCTGGTGGAGTACTAGTGCGATAATTGATGAACAACAGATAAGAGACAGCGACACAAGACAAACAGGCAGACATTAATATAAAAATGAAATTAATTATACCTAAATATTTCTTAAAAATCACTCTGTAGATGGATGAAAAACAGTTAAAAATCCGTTCAGTATTTTTTAACATTGTCGCGAACAAATTCAGCGTGGGAGTTTTCTTTATAATATGTATGTATGATATGCTAGATAGTAGTGATCGTTTATGAAGAATCCTTAAGAAGTTTTAATTGATTGTAGTCAATTTTGTTGAAGTCTTTTAGGATTTTTAGATATCACATTATACAAAGCAGTGTATCTTTACAAGACAGCATACATATACTTGCTAATCATATATTGAATACTAAAAATAAAACTTATGTGTGTGCATATTAAAACCTAATAACTGACGCGGTAAACATAGAAATAACTAAATACTAAGCAACTGATATATACATATATATATACTTAATCTATATAAATTCATTAAGCTCTATGTTAAAATTAAAGAATAAAATTACATCTTCAGCATGAAACACGGATAAAAAAATCGTTGACGTTCAATATCTTCTATAAGATGCGACGAATATAACTAAAGCGAGATTTGCTTTGTAGTGATATTGCACGAACTTGGAAACAAGTGCAATGCAACTACAATGCACTCACGCAATAGCCGTGCTTCTTTGAGGCTGCTTTATTACTAAATACAAATACATTCCATACACATTAGTAACAACAAAATAATTTCGACGATTACAATTCATACATACTAATATCATGCCAAAAGTATACATTTACATAACATACTAATATATTTTATTACAAAGATTATTTATAATCTTATATCTTATATATAAAATCTCCACCCCTAATTTTTTTTTTTATTTTAAGGCATAACAACGTTTGCCGGACAGCTAGTCTTATATATAAAATTCTCGTGTCACAGTTTTCGTTCCCATACTCCTCCGAAACGGCTTAACCGATTCTCATGAAATTTTGTGAGCGTATTGAGTAGGTCTGAGAATCGGCCAACATCTATTTTTCATTCCCCTAAATGTTAGGGGTAGTCCACCCCTAATTTTTTTTTTATTTTAAGGCAAAACAACGTTTTCTGGACAGCTAGTCTTATATATAAAATTCTCGTGTCACAGTTTTCGTTCCCATACTCATCCGAAACGCTTGACCGATTCTCATGAAATTTTGTGAGCGTAGGTATTGAGTAGGTCTGAGAATCGGCCAACATCTATTTTTCATCCCCCTAAATGTTAGGGGTAGTCCACCCCTAAATTTTTTTTTTATTTTAAGGCAAAACAACGTTTGCCGGGACAGCTAGTAATCTATAAACATATATCGACTTTTAAACAATAATTTAACAATTTCAGTCTTGCCTCTGATTTGTGTGAGTTAGGCTTAGTAGCTCAATTACTTATACACTACACCTCTCAACGTCTATTAGGACCTAATCATGTATAATAAATATATTATGTAAATTTATAAAATCTAAAGAAATCAAGAGTACAAATATATAGTTATATTAATCCAATGGACCTTAACACACTGAATACACTTACAGAAGTCATTCCGTGAAATGACTGCAATTATATTACATTTATACTATAAGTATGTAATTATAATAGTAATAAATAAATATAATAAAATATATTTTCTGCCGTGCTCTACCAGCCACTTTAACAACAGTATCTATTATACAATATAATATAAGAACACTAAATGATGCAATGTATACTGATACTTATCCTATTAACGTAATAGTATCAAAACTATACTTTTAAATGACATTTTGATTTGAACATATTGAAACAAAAAAATATTATTAACTCACCATCATTAGTTTCGTAGGCTTTCGGCAGCAGTAATAGGCGAGCGAATCTGTCAACTTGGCTCCAGCCAAATCGCATACCTATAAAATATTATATTTTTAATATAACAATATTTAAGTACCTACTAGATGAACAAGCAACTCCGTGTTCCATACTTAAACTTAGCGCGCACAAGTTAGCAGACAAATATAATTATTAATATTTTTTTTTAATATTTAAAGTACAGGCACTGCTCGTTTACGCTTTTGTTACATTTATGTATGTATGTATGAAAGTTACATGTAATGATATGACTAAATTTTCATGAACGATAAGCGGTATAAAACACAATATAGGTATTACAGCTACTGAAGAAAAAACAAAATAAACCCTATATGCCAAGCGCTAAGACAGCACGTACATATATATCATTGCAAAGGGAACGATCCTAATTGTCTACAGATGACGATTAGCTGTATCCATTAAATGTCCACTTATCGAATCAATTTACAAAAGTTAATTTGCTGTAGTTTAAAAAAATAATTAACAAAAATACCTTAAGTATAGTCTCCGACGTCCTCTCGATGGAGTTTTCATCTCGGCACTGCGCAAGACTGAGCAGTCCGCGACGACTTTTGTATGCCAAGTGCAGAGCCCTACGAATAATACCACAATGGATATATTTTCAACAACTCATGTTTATAATACAAAAGACAATAGTTATTAATATACTAACTATAAACTATGGCTATGTTTAATAAACAGTATGACTAGAATTTCTAAATGAATACATGTGCGAGTACAATTATCACGATGCAAGAACAGGTATAGTGTTCGTAATTTAAATAACGTTATTCTCTTCATTAACTTGATTATTAAAATGTTATATTATTTGAAACACAATTTTAAATCTTATCTGTGTTAATACTAAATATCAAGTGTTCTGTAGTTTCTTCTATGCAATAACGGCCTAATTATTTTGGTTTAAATTTGATCGTGAAATCACAATTTTCTTAATTTTCTTAGAATTTATAATTAATTATAGTTAATTAACTTGCATCATTCTACTACTATAGTGAGAATTCTAAAAACTGTTTTAACCATAATGGAAATAATGAAAAATCTTTATGAGATAGATATGTCATAAAGATTTTCTAAATATTTTGTAATGTAAAGATCAGTACCTACTAGTGCTCTAAACAAAATATAACCGTGGCATTGTAGTAACTAAAATTCTAAAAAACTGAAACTTTCGTCTGCATCGCCTACTTCAGCCGTGAAGCAGTTTTGTAAGCTGTGTTTCGATTGGAGGGTGAGTATTGGAGTGAAATTACTGGGGATTGAGGCATGACATCTAGTCCTCTGGAAACGCAATGCATTAAGAGTACTGCAGGCGTTATATGCTAACGGGATTTTACTTTATGTAACAATCATGTATAAATATTGTTAAACTTGCAGAATATAGGCCACACTTGCCACTATTTGGCTATGCCACTTATGATAGGCATACCTGGTGATGTGATTGTTTTTCAACTATGCATTATTATTATTGCATAAAAAAAATATAGCAATAATGTTTACCCAGGCAGAGGATCTTCGCAATTGGCAAGTGTCTCAGGTAACAGGTCCAGTCGATTGCCAATTTCAATTGCTTTACTGGTATCTGCTAATAACCAAGTGGCAGCCACGCCAACTATGTTTGCCCACCATTCCATCACTGGATCCCAGCAACCTATATTATAATTTTAGATTAAATATATAGCGATATTTCAGGTTATTCATTTAACGAGATTTTATTATTTCAGACTAAATTGAATTTACAACGATCTAACACTCCTAGAAAAGATGTTTTTTTCGAGATTGTTATCCAGGAAGTAGTGCAAAAATCGTTGTTGTTAATACCTTGTACTTCCTACTTACAATGTCAATTAATCACAAAACTCTTAAAAATAACGAATACGGATTCATAGGAAAATAAACGACGGAGTTTCTCAATTTGAAATTTTTTTTTGAAAGTTGGCGCTTCTCATGTGGACCACATTTTTGTTTGAAATTGGATGGGCAATTTTGGGTCAACCTTAATAATGCGATTAAAGTCGGTTTCTTCATGGTCTAAACAAGACAATATTATCAAAGTTTATACCATTGTGATGTGGTGCATCTGTAGAAACGTCGTCTGTGATTAGTTTAATGAGCTCCAGGACGTCCCGCGTGTTGCTGCGCTCGTCGGCAATCAATAGCATCTCCAGACTCTTCTGGAGAAGTTCGAGGTGATACGCCTATAATATAAATAACAAAAGTATAACACGAGCCCTTTGTATTATCCTTGCCAAATCCGTATGCTTACAAATTCGCAATAATATTGCAAATTTGTAAGCGACCAAATAACAAAGATCTTTTTGTCTATGTAATTCAATACATTAATTAATGCTATGGTACATAAACCAGTTTTTAAATAGACGAAACTTTAGTTGTGTTTTGTTCATAAATTTCGTTATTATATTAATACAATAATGAAAGGTCTTCGTATAAATCGCATTTTAATTGGGTTAGTAACCCATTGGTTTATGTATTCTTTTTGCAATCATAGGATTTATTTCTAAGTTATTCCCGACATATAAACTTAATAAGGATTAATAGTTTTTTTTTATTGGGTAATAATAATAATAATAGTGTGCAATCTCCTGCGCTAACGGTATATGATATAAAGTAGGGTAGTAGTGGGTATAAAATAAGGTCTGTCAGCCCATAGTGTCGAATTCACCAAGAAATAAACACAATCTTTTCTAGTTTGCAACATCAAGCTCAATCTGACATTAGTAACAATCCTCTCCCACTCTTGCTTTATTAGTAGTAGTTTTTATAGATGATATCAAAAAGAAATATTATTATCAAAGAAACTTATTAACTGTGAGTATATATTCGTGTTGATGTACAAAACCAGTTGTTTAAAGTAATCACCCTCATAGCGTAGGCGAGTGGGTCGGTGGGATCCGGGAGGCGACTGAAGAGAGCGGAAGAGCGATGGTCCCGGTCGTAGCTCCAGTGCCGCGAGCGTAGGAAGCTATATGCGAGTGCGCCGCCCGCCCAACGCAGACGTCCAGAACTCGCCCCAGCCCCCGCGCCCGCGCTTCGGCACAGGCGGAGGTAGTACCTGCACACAGCCATCATTATTGCTATACCAGTATATCTATATAGTTTTCATACCATGAGGACACCAATCAAGCAAACAGTCGGCTTGATGCTAAGCTGGCAGACTAACTGAAGAATTAAGTGTCATAATATTAGTGTATATCACTAATATTACGACATATAACATGCAGAGAGTGAAGTGAGGAGTCGATAAGAAATATATATTAACAGAAAAAAAAAACTATTTGCTGTCCCCCAGATTTCAACTCACTACAGATGGAAGTTAAACACTAGGCCACGACGCTAAATAAATAAATAGTAGTAATTAGTAAAAAGATACAGTTAAATACGTAATTTATTATACGGATACCTTGCACAGGCACCAGTTTTCCACTAATTTGTATTTTACCATTAAATTCTACTACATGACTAAGTGTGTATTGTTACACGATAAATAATACTACTTACTTTGAAGAGAAATAAAAATAGAATTATTTTAAATAATTCAAATACCGAACAATAAATAATATTCTCTAAAAATATTGCATAAATATCTTACCCGCATAGCCAATTTCCGATCTTTGGAATATAATCTTTGAAAACTAAAGCGGCTGTGACGTAAGTATCGGCGAGGAGTAACCCGTTGCCAGTCGCTTCTGCCAGGTTAACAGCTTGCAGCGCCAGCAGCACGCTCTCGGTGCGTCCACTGTGCGATGGCAACACCGAAAGCTGCGCTAGACGATGTGACACCGTCGACACCTCCGTGGCCCAGTGCTGAGTCGCTCTTCTAGCAGGGCTTCGATAAATAACAGAAAAACTAATACAGTGTGTTCAGTGTACCTGATACTTTGGTAAGAGGTATGAAGATGTGGATATCAGCTGCCGAACATGTTGTGTTGTAAGCTGTGTATTAGTTTGAAAAGAGTCGTAACACGTTAATTGTTCGAAGCCTTTGATTATTCTAATCTACGTTCAGGGGCAATATGTTCCATATTTTTTATTTTCTTCCATATTATTTACTAAATAAATAATTTCAAAAATACGTTTGTATGGCAACTAATTGGGTTTGTGAGGGAATATTTTTTTTATAATAATAACCTTGGAAAATTCAGACAGCGCCATCTTGTCCTAAACTAAGAAGTGCTGGTGTTACTAAACATCTGATAGATTTTTTTTAATACATACATATTATATGTATTAACCCCCAAACCAATTTACACACTCATACTCATAAATAAAAATGCAAGTATCCGTTTCGCAAGGAATTGAACCAACGACCAACGGAAGTAAGGCAGCGTAACATACCATTAGACCACCTACGTCGTCTTAATTTTATATTAAAATTATCTACTTATTATATAGCACAAACTTATAATAGCAAGTATATTAGATATGTATAATGTATAATATTCAATTACCTGTCACTCCATAAATCTCCTGCACGACGAGCAAGATATCCACCAAACGGTAGTCTCTGGAGAAACTGCCTCAATATTGCAGCCAACAATGCACTGTACTTGACATGTCCTTGTCCGCCAGATTGAACACTTTTGCCGCACACTGCTAGCGATCGATGGTATTCCAATTTAGCATTGTCCAAGTTACCCTAAAAATTTAATATCATACTAATATTATAAATCCGAAAGTTTGTGAGTATAGATGGATGTTGCTCTTTTACGCAAAAACTACCGATTGATTTTGAAACTTTACTGTTAACTCTATATTTAAGCTATGTAGTAACATAGCTTAAATATCGGAATAACACATGAGCTATTATTAAAAAAGATATTATGTAAATTGGGCGATGTATAATTGTGATGCAGACGAACTCGCGCATGTCAGCTAGTCAATTATAGTTACGAAATAAAAAGATATTTAATAAACAAAAAGAATTTAATAAATTTACCTTTTTTAAGAAGTTATCTGCTAGTCGTTTATGCTTATAGAAAAGTCCAGCTTCTTTGGATTGTGACTTTGGCACTGAATCCCCATAGACCAGCAACTTTACAAGGCATCCTCCCAATATTATAAAGTTTATTAAATATATGAAAAATGTATTGAACAACCAAATAGCCCAAGGTCCATTTGTATAACCTGAAACAGTCAATCAATCAATCAAATTTTATTTTATTCTGAGCTTAGACACATTAATACTATGCTATTGGTCACTTGTGCTCATGTTCATATGTATGTAATTATTTTTTATTAAAACTAACAAATTTTTATATTATATTTATTAAAAATAAATGTTTTTGCACTCTTTTTCCGTAGAAACTTTAACTGTGTCAATTTCATATTTCTCCATTCACATATTTTTGTAAAAAGGAGTCGCTCTAGCTTTATATCACATATTAAGACATAGATTTGATAAGATTTGACGTTCAAGAGATAAGTAAATACTAATAAATTTACTTCCTTACTAAAAATGTAATTATAATGTCCATGTATCACAAAATATAAACTTACCAACATTATCATCCGATAAAATACGGCGTTGATCAACCCTTGCCGAAAAATCATCTGGTTTTAAATCTGGTGTCATTTTTCCAAAGAATGTACCAAATGGATTAAATGCAATTAATCCCACCATAAAGGCACAAAGAGCTAATCGAGAATGATCACCCATTCCCATTACTATTTTAGAATACTTTTCTTCAATCTGTGGTAAGAAAATAACCAGTTTTATAAACAAAATAAAGTAGGTATCATTCATAAAAACATGATCAAGAATTTACAATTAAAATATCTATTTTAGGAAAATAGTATTAAAATATAAAATATATACACTCATGAGTGTTACACAGGTTGGGTAATCAGAGGAGTGTTAATGTCATTATGGTGCCTGCAACATTTGACATGACTATATCGCTGAATACATTTTAATCTAACTTTGCAGTGGGTGTAGCTACTGCCATCTCTCACATTTACATAGATGTTTCACTCAAACTTATAAATAAACACTGAAAATTTTTTTGAGTTCGTCACCTTTGAACTCCCAGCTATTCAGTAACTTATGATTCACTTTCATAATTCACTAGACCATGACTGTATAAAGGAATAAATATAAATTACCTTATAATCTGGTGATGACGGAGAATCACTGTCAAGAGCATGTGGAGATGGATATGGGGATGAGATATCACTGTGGGGTGGAGTGTATCCACCTTCGATTACTGGTTCTTTCAGGCCAGATTTCTGGCATGTTAATTTGAGAGCCATATTTTCTTGTTTCAATCTCGCATTTTGGTTCTGTAGATACTTTATATAATCTATTGTTTTTCTCAATATAGCCGATTTGTTTAACTGTAATTTTATTTATAAACATAATTTTTACAATATGCAATATTCCTTTCAATAATAAATTATTTTCCCTAATATTCAACTAATGAATAATAAACTAAAAATTAAAACTAGTTTAGATATTATTGAATAATATTATTATGAAATTAATTTCACTATTGTCTATATGGAGAGTGAATCATAAAATGTTGTGCAATAGTAAGTAAATATAACAGCTTAAATGTTCATTGAAAATGAACATTTAAATCCTTTTTCTTTTATTTATTAAGATGAATCATGAACAAGGTGCAAAGGTAAAATGTAAAATCTTTAAGAAATTTCAATCTACATATTTAAATTATTTCATTACATGTGTTGTAGGATATTTGGGGAATATAGAAAAACTTGTTTTAAGCTTTATTTGGATCCTTATATATGAACAGTTAAAGAGTGTAAATTTTAATGTACTGTAATATACAATATCTGCAGTAGTTTCAATAATATGACAAATACTTACTTTTGCATCTTCTCCAACCAACATATTCTTTAGTTCAATGATTCTATCATTAATACTAGTCCGATACCTTCTCTCAATAGCATTGTGTGCGCTTCTCTTCACTTCTTTTACTTTTGGGGTTCCAATATTAGGAGCCTGAGTCAGCGCAATCTTGTCTCCTTCAAGCACAACCGGTATACCTGTTGCTGTTGTGAGCAAGGTAGGGCCACTACTACTTGTGAAAAATGTATGTATTGGTCTACTTTCTGAACCTGGTTTTGTATTTGTTATGACATTTTGTGGTGTACCTGAAAATAAATTCAAGACTAAATTTAGACAAATAATGTTAAGTATTAAATTATATAAAAAACTACAGTGACTGAATTATATGGATAAATAAAACATCCTAAATTAAAATAATTTGGAGCTTGAGTTTTGATTTCAGTATCAATTATGGAATAGGGATTATATTTCTTTTATGTTTAGGTTAGTTAATTTAGATCAAGAACTACTAAAAGCAAATCTGTGTTGTAAGTTGTAACTTAAATTATGTGACTTTCATAAGTCGAATAAGGAATAAATTTACGATACTTACATTTCAAGCTACACTTATATTAAATTATTATTAAAACTTTCACATTTAGTACACATTATTAATATGGCAAATTAAAGGTTACCTCTTTACTTCTAATTTGAAATTTACCTCTTTCAATATTTCACAATTGTAGATTAGTTAGCTAGTGCCCATTATTCATATTAAAATGTTTAATGTGTATGATAATTATATTTTAAAGTGTATATTAATTATATTTATGCTCTTAAAACTATATCCAATTTACAGAGTCAAAAGACATATGATAAAATGTAGTTTAAAATTTGGATAAAACTACTTAAAAGTAGTGGCAAAATCCAGTTTTTATCCATTGTAATTCCTAGTTCTGTCAAACATTATCAACTTATTTTTTTATTCTTAATTTTCCTAAGTGGATAAGTGAATTTTTTGTTGACCACAAATATTTAACTTTAGTGAAGTCATTTCAATTATTTAGTGTATCTGCATGCTGATTGTGCTAGACCAACCAGCATGTTTGAAGATGAGATATATCTATATTCACAGTAGAAGTAATTTAAGCATTTACCTTGTACAGGAGCACTTGTGTACATCAAAGTTTGTGTTTCTGGAATCATATTGGATTGTAATATCACAGGTGAAAAGTTAGTATCAGTGGTCTTCAAAATGACTGGAGTCACCGATTTGTTATTGTTCTGTAAAATTAAGGGTTGCCCAGACTGCTGTGTGGTACTGGATTGTTTCACATGCGATATTCCATTTAACTTCACCAATGATCCTCTACCATCAGGAAACTGATGTATACTGCCAGGTGCCAAATTAACATAAAATGGACTTTGAACAACTTGCTGTACAATCATGGGGGCTTGTGGAGACACTCTGCTATGTCCATGTTGTGTAACATCAGGCAATGGTACACCATCATTCTTCAGAGGCAAAGAAAACCCCTTCTCTTTTAGAGAAGTGTTTCGAACTGGACTGTTATTTTGATTTTGTCCAGTATTTTGTGGAGGTTTATTTGGACTCCAGTATTGAGAGAATAACGGATTGCCAGTGTGGGGGTAAGGCAACACTTGAGGTTGCGTAGGGCTGTCTGTCTTGATATCACTTTCAATACTGAGTAATCCAGAGTCATTTTCCACTGTTGCCAGTTCAGCCTCTAGTTTGTTGATAAAATCAGAGTCGCAATCATTGAGGAAGTCTATAAAACAAATTAATATATTAATATCTCATAATAAGTTAATTAATTAATTAATTTTAACACTAAAATAGTTAAATTTCATAGTGATGAAATAAATTGTAATTTGAAAACATAATACCAGCCTTCTATTTCAATCATATCACGACAATGGAAGCCATCTGGGCTTAATAATAAGTCGTCCTGCTCCATTCTTACTTAGGAAACATTAAAAATTTTATATAATAATAAATGTGAAAACAAAATTTTGTTTACAATTTTTGGCATTTTAAGTACTTTGTTTGACAACCCGCACCTGCTGTCTGCTGATTCTTATAACCAATAGGAAACTTCAAAAACGTGGTGCGATTTTACGTCACTTATGGATGCATTCGTAATTATATTTTTCTGTTGTAGCATAACATGAACATAATTTGAGCTTTTGTGTAAAGCCCAAGTGACATAACTATGTACAGATAGTAATATAAATAAATAATGTATTTTTATTTTTTATAAATTAACTTAATTAAAATTTCTCAACTCTAGTAATTAGTTAATGATTAGAACCATCTTACGGCAATTATTCGAAGCTATAGTTACTTATTGTGCAAAATAGATGGCGTAACTATTTCAATTATTATTTGAGTAATTTAAAATTCAGTTTCCGTGTTAATATTTATTATTTAGCTAATATAATCATGCAATCGGATATAAATAATTAAATCTGTTGAATTAACTCATTAATATACCATAATTGTGTCGCAACGTAAATAAATAAATCTATTACTGTCTCAATATTTTAGAATGTTTTATCTCTTTGTCATTATTGAATTTTCTTTAATTGTCCAGGGTTATTATTGTTATTAGTCTTTACCGTATGTATTATACTTACCCTATCTTAATATAATTTCCTAACCGGTTGAACAGAACGATGCATAGACAATTTTATACGGTTTCAAAAAGTATGGATCGCATCTCTTGCAGTGCCACAACCGTTCAGATCAATTTTTTTTTTTCGAAAATATATTTTTAATAGATCGTCATAAATACAAAATGTATCCATTTTGCAGAAACCAAATTATGTCCATCGGAAAGTGACGTGCTTAACTATACCACAAGAGTCGTCAAATAGCTAATTAATTCGATAACCCCATTCGCTCCTGACCATATTATGTTATCTGTGCTCCTGACTGATTACCATAGTGATAAATTTTGTCCTCTTCCTCCATTGCTGCCTCACCTGACTGGTGAGCCAGTATACATAGACGGATTCAACATACATCGAACACATAATATTAGTCTTTACAGTGTACCTACATGTCTACTGAATGCTGTAATTTTCTTTTGAAGTCTAATTTTGTACTTATTATTATACCTATATTTTATTAAGATGTCATGAGAGTATACAGAGATCTTACAATTTCTATACGTCGTAATTTCCAAGACAAAACGGTAGTTAGAGGCATAAATAATCTTCTGACCTAGGCGTGGACAAGTTTTTCTTTGAGCCCGGGGGTTGCGCAGGTTCCAATTTTTCCAAAGTTAAAGCATAATTCTTATTATAACAGATGCAATCTTCAGAGAGGAATAGTTACTCTCCCTTACCATCCTTGCATCCCCATTTCCACTTTCTGGATGTAAACCTTTTCATTGATTCATCTGGCATACTAAATCAATAAACCATAGATAACCCTTTACTTTTACTCGTAGGTAGGTATACCTATCTACATATAGCCAATTGGGATTTTACTCTAAACTCGAGCTGCGGTATGGCTTCTCCATGATTCCATTAATTGTATTTCTAGAATTAACTTTTCTCTTTTAGTTTATTCTTATTTCATTCGCATTTAAAATATATTTATTTATCCAAAATAGAATATGTAGGTATATGTTAAGAAAAAAAACTTATGATATTAAACGTTTAATTTATATTTATAACATTATATTATCTGTAAATATAGAGTTCTTATAATATGTAGGTACGAGATAAACTCGATTTAAAATAACTCAGGTGTGTCCATACATTAAACAACTACGTAAAGTACATACATACAATGTTTTGCATTCATAACTAAATTGATGAATAAAAGTGCATAACATTAAGTATACTTAATAATATATTTATAGGCACAATAGTGGGGTATATATAACATAACATCGCTTCAATATAATCATGAGGTACATACGATAGGCACTAAAATAACGATATGGGTGAATTCATTTCGCACATTTTCTCTAAGAGCCCACTTACATACAAGTACTTGAAACTCATCTAAAACACATTAGCACGAAAGTGCACTACTGGAATGTCCTAACATTAATATTTACTAAAACAAACAAAGGCACAACACAGTGAGACCTCAAAAGTGTAGCTTCTACACACTCAATACAAATATGATCCAACCTAATTTTACTTCCATGCAATATTACGTAAAATATGCAATGATAAAGTAGAGAAACTTAGAGGTAGGTACCTACTCAATCTATGGCATTTTCGAACTAGACTAAAGTAACAAATCAGTCTTCCAATCAATTACAAAATAATAAGTAATGATGATTAACTTAAACAGTATTATAAAATTAACATTATATTTTATTAGAAGTTAACGTATGTAGATATCAAATTAATACATGGATACAACAGTACTAAAAATAATGTGGAAGGTAATATATTATGGTGAATCTAGACCAACCACGAAGAATCTGTGCTAGGTACTTTTTACTTACAACGTATTATTTATTATTCTATATAATTACAAAGCTTTACAACAATATAAATATATAATGATTCTTATTAGAAAGTAATGTAGACACTCGTACTAATAAGAAACTAACTTAGTTAAATTGTAATAAGTATAACAGCGAATGGCGACGAAATTATATTGTTTACCATAAACTTATGAAAAGATATTGAGCATTTTACTAAGTGTTACAAATCATGTCACTTATTCTAATAAGAATGACTGTGCAAGTGCTAAAGAAAGTCTACTATATTTATAAATATATTTAATTTACTGATGACATAGTGAGCATAACTAGGCATACAACACAAAAAATGTTTATGGCAATCGTTAACAAATCAGTAATTAAACCCGTAATATTAGGAATTAAAATGTCACATACATGTACATCGCTATTCGCATCATATTGACATGAGCGTCCCGCGTCACACAATCCTTTGAATTTACTTATATTCAGATACCTACTCTTCGTGTGGCTCTGCTGAAGATTATTTTAAGTTACTATGGTATTATGCGACGCGGAGGACTAGAGTTAAATTGTAGCGAGCGTGAGGTAGTAGCGGCGTTTCAGTCTATAAACATCACAGTCGCGGACAACAAATTGCACAATAACTCGTCTAGGCGGACCTGGTCGAGGCGCGGCGGCGTAGCCGGCGCTACCTTTCTGCCCTTCGGCCCTATAAAGTTACAGCTCCAACTAACACATTACATTCTAATTAAAGCTAACCTATTTTTCTATTCCATTAACAGAGACGTAAATGTTATAAAACAAAAAAATAAAGTAAGAAAATAAACAAAAATAAAATCACATAAGGGCACACTTTCACCATCAAACGGAAATTTTATTTCGTTATCAGGTTTCGATGGTGCAAAGAAAATAAATAGAAAAGAACAGGGGTAGAGTAAAAGTGGCCGCGGGGCCCATTGCAATCGCCCGGCCGAAACGCCAGGTCAGCGTGGCGTGCGCGCGCGGCGCGTCCTACCAGTAGTCTAATAAATGTCTTATTCCTAACTTTGTACGCCTAAGTCAGTCTTTTTGAATGTTTGTTTCAATTTGCTATTGTTGTTCAATCTCTTTCACTACTGCAATCTAATGCAAAATTACGTGGTGGAACAATAACTCCAGAAGGAGGATCAATGTCTCGACGACGCGATACAGAAAGATCTTCGACATGATCATCATCAAGAGGAGGTGACCGTGGCGATTGCGGCGCTGATCGAGGTGGTGTTCTTGGGGTTAATGCGGCGTGAGCAGCAGCTGCTAAAGCCATAGCATGCAAGGCTTCCCGACCGCCATCCCTTGTAGCCCCTTCTAATGCTTGTTGTAAAAAAGACGGATCGATGAGAGGTGTAGCTGGAGCTCCGTCATCTCCACCCCCAGTACCACTAAGCCCATAAGGAAATGCAGCACCGTTCGTTTCTCTCTTTATACCTCGACTCATGGGACGGCTTGTTGTAATGCCAAGTTTCTTTACTTTATCGTATAGGGTACGTGAGGGAACGCCATATTTACGCGAGGCTTGTAGAGCACTCATACCGTTTCTCACGCATTCAATAGCTGACATAATATCGGATCTAGTGTATTGTTTATATCGCTTCCATTCTGGCTTTTGTTGTGGTGGGACATAAGGTGCCAATCCTGTTCGTACGTCTTGTTGAAAGTTGGATGGCGGCGAGGAAGGATGAAAGCTACGATTATTTTCTTCTTCAAAAGAACGTTCTGTATATGGAGAGTGGGCATCTTCGGAACGATCTGATCTATTGTAATGAGGCGAAGAGGCTCTTGAGGACAATCGACGTGGTCGATAATCAAAGCCGCGTTGTGGACTTGGAGCTCGCTCAGATTCGTGAGCTGATCCATTAGAGTGAATACGTGGTGGTACGTGTTGATTGACTGGGTGACAAACTAGTGATATAGGTTGAGAAGAGTCTACAGAAGCCGTTTGTGCTAGGACATTTCTTAATATAGGTGTGTCACGTGTAGCTAACATACTCGATAGCTTTTTGCGTTTCAAAGGATTCATGTCTACAGATTCGTAGGCAGCCGATAATGCAGGAACGTTGGGTGGACGATGCCAACGAGATGGCGCTGCAGGCATTGGTGGTGATACGCTAGATGGCGCTGCTGGTACCACACGCGGCGGAGAAGCCGCAGGAGTGCGCTCATTAGACCCAGGACGACGACGTAACTCTGTCATATCAAATAGTCCTTTTACCTCCAGTTGTTCTGCAACCTTCATGATACGAGGTATTTGTGCTTGTGTTACATTTACTTCCCCTGTATACATATATTCAAGAAGAGCACGCATCTCGAAATCTTTTACACCAGGGAACAAAATACTACAATGATCCATAGGTACATCTGCCAATATGGATTGAAAATAAGGAGAGTTAGCAGCCAGTACGACTCTATGAGCCTTGAAGGTGACTTGGTCGTCAACCACCAAAGTGCAATCTACGTAGGTCTCTACTTTGATCAGTGCCTCGAGGATCTCTACTAAATTTGTTTTGTGATGGTTCCATTTCAAACAAAAGGTTTGTTGACCTTCGCTGCTACCCATTTTTCGTAGTTGCGCTTCTGTGGACAAAAAAAAAATGTTACATCAATCTTAACTCAAACAAGTTTAAAAGACATTTATATTTTAAATAAACTGTTTAAATTATTGAATTAAACATACAGTTTATAAAATAGTCTGACAGATTAATGGACCATTTTATTATTATTTACCACTAAAATTAAACAAAGAAAAACATTTAAGAAACATCCGTGAAACGTATAAAATTTTAAGAGCAATTTAAATAACTTGGTTGGTACGACGAATTTTATAAACATTACGCGCAAAGTTTAAAACAGTTTAAATGCTATGAAACTGATAAGATATAAGCAGATTTAGACCGTAGACATAATAATTTATATGAAAACAATTAATAATAAATCATAAATAGCAAATTATAATTCATTAATTTGTTAATTAAGATTATATTATTAGATTACAACTTAAGATACTAAATTATTCTAAAGAATATTAAGACATAAATATGTTTATATTCATGATATATAATAATAACTTGTTCAATTATAACGTTATAAGCATTATAATATAACAATTTATTACTTTACTTAATTTAACTACAGATATTATAACATAATTCGAAAATAATGACTCTTATTTATTTCAAACTAAGATGCACAAATAATAACGATAAACAGTCTAACTATTATTCTATTACGTACCAGGTAAAATCTCGAAGCACGTAGAGACGGGATACATTGTAGAGTTAGTCCGCTCTAGACGCCGACTAGGTACAATTTTAAACAGTTCGTAAATCCGCACTAATTCACGTATGACTGTGGTCGCGCGGCGCCGCGATCCCGAGCTGTGTATGCAACGTGTGTGCACACCGCACTACTGTGAACGTACGGCACGGTGTACCATCGCTGCTCGACTGCACAGCCCTTCCCCATTTACATATTACGTCCGAAGCCCTTCCTCACTGCCAAATTGACTTTTTACCTTTTATTCCGCAGGTACATCAAACTTGGGGGGCTGATGAAAGCGATTGTACCGGTGTCCCTCCTTTTATAATATCCATCAAGTCGAAATCATGCAATATTTGAATCTTGTTAACTAGACTTTAAAGTTTATAATCACACGATAAAATTAAAATAACAATTATAAAACAAATACAAACCTCTGAATTGTGCAAAAAACTTTTGTCTACGAGGCTACGCAACGTAGCGCCGCTACGAGTTTCTGCATAACAAGTTTTCTTTAATAAATATTGAAAAACTTACCTTATTATTGGAAATCCAAAAGTGACACTTGAGTGTTGTTGGGATGGAAAATGTTCAGGGCTTCAGGGAACTCATGAGAACAATTCGCACTGACACTTAAAGTTCGGGGGTTGTTTCGCGCGAGCGGACTGACAAATACGCCCTCGGTGGGGGCGGTGAGCTCTTACGAGCGTCTGGCGATGACTGTTGGATTGTTGCAGGCGGCGGCGCGGTCGCGGCCGTGCTCCGCCGCCGCCGCCGCGCCCCGCGTTCCGCGCCTCCTGCATGCGCTTTTTACGCACGCAGCGTGCCGGAGTGCAGTGCAATTGCTTGCGGGCCAGAGGGTGCGGGACGGAGTACGCGGCGCGCCCGACGAATTGCAGCGCGCCGAGGAGGGCGTCCACGTCTGTGTGCGTGTGCGCAACATAATACTACACATATGATTATGTATGTGTATGCCGCGAACGCGCCATAGTGTCGAGACGATAGTGGAATAAAGCCGATTTTAGGCTTATAAAAAATGTTACTTCGTCTTCGTCTCGCCTCGGCGTCCCTTTGTATGCCAACGGTGAACTTCGCATCGTGCCAACGAAATCAACAATTCTGTTACTTCAGTTTGATGACAATTAACATAAAAATTCAATTAATATGCATTGTTGCGTTTACATTAGATTAATGTACATACTTTGAAAAGAATAAGGTTTTGTAATTTATTTACATTTATGGAAGTTTAAAACCATGCTTAACTATAGATATACTTAATTAACGTAGCTTGTTAAATCTTCACGCTTAAAAATATTATTATGTTAATAATATTTTACTTATATAATAATACTTTACATCTAAATTTCACAAAAAACGCACAGAATTTTTAATTTATAATTAGTAAGAACACCTATATCCATACACTATTTTTTGATGTCATACGTATTAATATCTTCATTATTCAACTTTTCAGGAAGTAACTAAATGGAATTAGTTACGCAGATTTAATATTTCAAAGAGAGAGAGAATGACTTAAACCTAATCTAAAAATAATAAATGTATTAGGTAAATATTTTGAATTAATATACCAATATTTCTCAGTAATATAAGTGCCTATTTATCGTCTACATTGTTTCTTTAGTCTAAAATACTATAAAAAACTTTTAAATTTATTGTACAACAAACTCACCTAAGTTAGAGATACATACTGCTATTGATCAAACTTTGATTAATGTAGTAAAAAGTCTATTACTATCGACAATACACCATTTAAAATAAAAGTTCAAATATAGAACAAAATAGGTTGTTGTTCGCCTTCGCACTCTGCACGAATCGCCCCAAAAATTCAAAAAGTACGTGAACAAACGCCAGCAAACGGGGTCATTGACACATGCCTGCGTAGGGAACGCCAAAATAGCGCGAAATGCACTCAAAAATAGATCAAGCTGTGTGCAATATTTTTTGTTAGGCGGAGTTTGTGTTTCCGTTAGTACCCAAGAATGTGATTTCATTTATCGTATCATAAGAATCATTTCAAGTATAAAATGTTAAAAGTTTTAATAAACTTGTTGTTACATTTATTTCTGTAACTTGGTATTACATTTATTATCCACTTAGAAATCTAATAAAATTTTTCTTATGAAAATACTTGTCATTATATTCTACTGCGATCTTACTTACTTAGTATCTTATTAACCCTAGTTATTCTTATATAATTTAGGAGGTTATTAGCCCAAGTACCTAAATGTTTTAATGTAACTGTACAATTTTACCATAAAGTATCTATAATGTAACATCAGTTTAGATTGGAATAGAATTCATTGTTGGTAAAACGTCAATCATAATATTCTGTCCCAACAATTAAAGTTATACGGGACATGCGGATTGTCATCAAATCAATGGATGATAAAGGGTTAATAATTATTGGTCGATCAATTTGTTAATACCCCGAAAACGTGTCTAATAAAATGAAATGCATTAAATAGGTAGGTATATTTAAAACCACAAAACGAAAATACAGCTTTTGATAAAATATATATATTCCATATGTAATTTATAATAATTTTATTCCAACGGGAAATCTAAACGAAAGAAAAATGTATATAAGTACTTAATTAAATTTTATTTAAATTCCATGAAGACTAAGTCGCAATTTTAATTAATTTTCCCACGGAATGTATGTATATGAAATCCATTGCAATGAAAACAATGGCAGCGAAATATCGTAGTCGCTCTCGTCATAGAGAGCCCTCTTCAATTAAGTACATGCATTTGCATACTATCGGTGACGCCACTCATGCCAAGTGTCGCCTCAATAGCTCTGCGTTACTCCATCCATGTGCTGGGCTGGAATATTTTGTGGCAAATATTAACTCTATCATTCATAAAAAGTATATAAGTTTATACCTAATATTCTGTTTAGACTTGAAATGATAACAATAGTCTTAATTTCTTGTCATTAGACAATATAAACAAACCATTTAACCCTAAGAGTACAGGTTTCGCCAAACAGTTATCAAACTGTTATTTGCAATTTTTAATGTTACATCTAATGCGTTGTTGTCATATCAGCGGTTAACCATGCAACCGTTATTTGATGATAATTTGGATACAATACCGGAAATTCAAATGCAAATGTTCCATTGTCAATAGACTCTCTTAACATTTGTGACCTTTGATTTGGTTGTTTAGTAAGTAGTGGTACTTATTAAAATTCGCATGCATCAGTCTCACATTAATTCTACAAGCAATAGTAAATTACGATAAACTGCTAACATTAAAGAAAAATACTTCAAACACATTATCAGTTGACACTGATATAAATTTCGACGACAATTGGTTAACAATGGAACTGCGATGTACTAAAATTGCATTATGGTAATACCAGCATAAACAGCGACACAACGCGACCTATCCCACGACGCACGCGCAGCAAAAACTGCTAAGCGGGTGGGGGTTAGATAAAAAACACTAATAAAAAAGCAATAACGCGATCCCGCATGTCTGCATGCTTGTTGGGTTTTGAAATTGAAGAGTCTGATGAAGCAAAAGCAGGGGATAATATGATCGATAAATTGGCTATTATTATTGATCATTGCTGAAGACAAGACCGTATTAAAAGAAACATTATATCAACAACATTAAGTGACAACAGCATTACACATAATAAGAGTGGAATTAAACCTACAATTACAACGTTTTTAAGCTGATTTAAAACAATGGAAGAGAAGAAGACTGTGCCCGCGTCAATTACAATTCCGTCAAACGTAATGCTGATCGTAATAATTAGGTTGTTGTATTATTGAAACTGCGTAAAAGTATAACTGACTTACTAATTACATATTTGTCGCTCATTTTGTATAAAAAATATTTCCCTTCAAAATAATTTTATATCCCGTCTCTCATCTAATTATATTATTTTATCTGATAAACGTAATTAACTCTAATGATTCTAATCCCACAATACTTTATTTAAAGTGGAAAATTAATGTAATAAACTAAATAGATATACCTATATATATAGTAAATGAACCTAATATTAATCTGCACAGAAATACAAATTGTATGGTAAGTAAGCAAGTAAACAGTATTTGAATTATATCTACTTTTTTTGTTTATTATTTATAATTACGTCAGAAATTTAACAAAGGTAGTTATTATACATACCTTACATAATACTATGATATCTGTAGATATTTGTAGTCACACATAGATATATATTAAGTGAAAATATCTAATATATGCATGTCCACAAAAGAACGATAAAAGATATTAAATTTACTCTTAGGATGTAATAGTAATAAGAATAATACAATGTCTTGAAGAAAAAAAATAAAAGTGTATATTTACTACGAATAAAAAATTGAAATAATTGAAATAATATTATAAGTTAACTAGTTAAACAAAGATGCATATTTTTATATTATTCATATTGTGAATACACTTAAGTAATAATACATTAAAACCAATTAATTCGTTGACTTTGCATAATGAGTGAAGGGGTGGCCACCATAAAGAGATAATTGTAATTTCACGCGAAGCAACGGCCTTGTCATTTGTCACCAGCATCCTGCCGCGTGCCCTGACCGAATTTATTATTTTATATTATATGGGGTTACATTCACCCTCTTTACTCTAACTTTAACAACTACTAAGGAACAATCAAATAATAGAGTTGCAGAATAAAAACTAGGTTTGCAAGAGATCAGAAGATTAATAGTGGTTACATAAATATTCGATCACAGTTTTGGGCATCGATGTTTTATTTCTATTTCGAACATATAGGTATTTGTGAAATAGAAGTAAAACTTTCGCCTAAAATTTCTGTAATAGTTTACCTACTTTGAATCAGTTTTGGTTTCATTATAGAATCCCGTTTAATATGATATTTTCATTGCAATTTAAATTTGTTCACGCAAAATAGGTATGTTTATTATATAGCTTATATCTTATTCTTATTAATTTTCTTAATTGTAAGGAAAGTAACATAACAATCCAACAGTTTAATAGGATGTACCTACGTTATGATAAACGTCAAAATAGACAGATTCAAATTCAAAGGTTGAGGTTTAAATTTTCTTTATAGTCAATTTTAACCTGTATTGCAATTTAGAGCATGACATGACCTATTTTTCTGTAGATACTTACTGTACTACATTGCCATACCAATGTGTTATACATACCTATATATGCGTATTATTTGATTGTAAGAGTAAGATAATTTGCATTGTACTAAATCGTCGACATTTACAAATTGTAATCTTCCTATTTAGTTCAAAACATACCGAGATCCACATGGGGCATTAGAGGCCCGTCCACACCCGACCCCGGATGCGGTTCATTGTAGCGAAACTCCCCAGGACCAGAAACAATACACTCTTTCCTCCCATTGTCTACGACCTTAACATTAATTTGATATTCATACTTTTATTAGGCTTAAAATATATAATCGCGAAATGTACCTCTTTTGTTTTACTTTCTTTCAATAAACAGTAATAGTAATAATAATTAAAATAAATAATTATTACTAATGTAATAAAAATAACGTTAGACAAAGTATCAGCCAATATAAACTACTATAATATTTAAAATTTATGAAGTAATCGAATAAAATATTTTTTTTTATATTGTATTTTAACAGTAGATATTAACACTATTATAAGTGCAATAAACAAGAATATTTTAATAAAGTATAAGTAATAA